TTTTTTGTGTTAAAAGATTTTGACCAATCACAAGAGTTGAAAACAATAGCCAAGAAAAGTTTACAATTTTACATGTTCCCCACATAGGATTTCTTTGTTATTCAAACTGAGACCAGATTTTGTTATATGGAAGATGGTTGGAAAGTAAGGATGAATATATGTACCGCTTTATGAAGTTTTGTTAACTTTTGCTGTTTAAGCCAATCAGAAGTAAGTACAGACAATAGAAAAGTTAGCACCTTTTTTGCATTCCAACATGTTTGTTGCCGTTGTTGCTATCGTTCTTATCTGGACCGTTTCTTAATATAAATAAAGATGATGACGTCTGCTAGCACGTAACATCTCCGTAACATTTTCTTTGGTCAAACATGCATGTCTTCCGCTATAACGTTTTCTGCCTTGGTTAATCACGAGACCAACTAGAATCGCTTTTATGAAAGACATGAAACTTCTTGTGACATATTATCAAAAGGATGTAAATCATGTTTAAATTTAAAATATTTAAATAACAAAAGCCACATTTAACAACAGAAAATTCATGAATAACCTGGCATTCGTCTCCGAAATCCATGTTTGCTTGCCACGTGACACGTGAAGTCTTCCGGGGGGGATAATCCCATTTATTTTTACATAAGCTAGGATTCCTTTGTTCTTTTCGGGGGGAATATATTACATAACCCCTGAATCAACTGTCCGAAAAGCTGGGTGCGGCTTTGATTGTTTGAAGGGAAGAGCGGGGCTAATGAGCAGCTAATTAAAATGCGAGGGGATTATGTATTAATATGCAGGGGGGATAAGTCACTTATCGTCACTTATCCCCCTTGCATATTAATACATAATCCCCTCGCATTTTAATTAGCTTTTCGTTAAGAAAAAATTCACAAATGTTTATTGGAAATATTAAACACGACACTATAATTACTAAAATTAAACTGAGCTGCGTTTTTTTTGCGCCACATTCACGGATTTTCTTAGTTGTTGGTTCATCGATTTCCACAGCCAGAACGACAGTTCGAAATTGAACAGCGTCTTTAAAATTCTACGGTTCCACGAACGGTGTCGCTGTCATGGTAAGGTGTTCCGTTCTTTAACCAGTCATCCCAAACTCGTGTACTCCATGAAGACATGTAGTTGACCTCTTTGTGTTTTGTTGTATTCTTGCTTCATTCCTCGACTGAATTTCCTTGTGAGTTACAGTAGGTATCCCTCGCCCGGAATCTTCTTTGAATGTAAACAAGCAGGTCGGTCGAAAGATCCTCGGTGCGAAAATTGAAATTGTCAAATGCTTGCTCGTTTTCTGCACCCGCAAATGAAGATTCAAATTGTTTTCCGAAAGCTCTTGCAGTACCGCCACTGAAGCTGCTTTAGTTTGAGTTATAAACGGCTCTACTTCTGGCTCTGAATCGCTCGACACTGCTAAGCTCTTTAGGCTGTTTCTAGCATTCACTGCGAACAACTAATTTGAAATGCGACTTTGAAAAACTAACATAATTAAAAAGCCAAGAAACTTGTGAATGCCACCAGTGCAAGCATGGAGTGTTACAAAACAAAAGGAAGATGAACAATAGAGGCATTTTTCGTCAATGTATTTTTGCATCCCTTGAGGAATCCTCACCAATGTAAAAATAAGCCGTTTATCGGCCTTCAGCTCGTGGTTATGTGATTTATTCCCCTCGTGCGTTGCCCGAGGGGAATAAATCACATAACCCCTGGCTTCAGGCCGATAACCTTACATATGGATGGGCTAGATAGGTAAGTACGGCCTGATAGGATATGGCCGAGTTGAGGATCTCGAGCCTTTAATAGGGTATCCTTTTTACCTTGTTGGCCTTATGTCTTTGGTTTGATCCTTAGATAGGGTAACTCAAGTAGTAATGGATGGTTTATTCAATCTTTTCCATTTTGTGGGAAAAAAAAGTAATCCTGAACATGCTCGGAAGAATTGCAAGGTCTTAGGAGTTGTATATAGGTAGGGAAGGAGAATTTTTGACTATCCCTACGGTATTTGCTTTAGAGGACTCCGTATAAAAAAAATTGTTTTAAGATGGAATGAGTACTTCTTTTGTTCCTATAGTGAGAATAATGGACCAAATGGCCAGCCGGCTCAGTGTAAGACCCCAAGTAAGTTCTATAAAAACAGATACATACGAAGGTATTGGCCAGCGACTAATTGGATTTTGTGTTTATGTTTCTGTTGTGGTTCGACGGTTTGCCACTGGTGACGTTTTTTGTTTATTTGCAGTAAACATTTTGAATCTTGAGGCCTCGTTTGATTAGGTTGGCCAAAATATGGAAGCCACTATTACTTCTTTAAGATTGCACGTTAGAAAAGGACGGTGCACCACGTGTTGTGTCGACCTGTTATAAGATCTAGCAGGAGAGCTTAAGCTTTCCTGGCCCCAGTTGTTCAAAAGGTGGATAGCGCTATCCAGCGGATAAATCTCTATCCAGTGGATAGTGCAATCGGTTTCCCTAATACTTATCCACTGGATAGTGATTTATCCGGTGGATAGTGCTATCTAGCTTTCGAACAACCGGGGCCAGGTGTCCTTATTCGAATGACGTAGGATGGATGTTACGATTTGCGGAAATTAAATGCTTTTTAATAATGGCTCGTTTGTGTCTAGTGTGTCTAGATTCTGTACTCTGACAATGCTCTGTCCAGAGGCACATCCCCGTATTGGCCATACAAGGAAGTACACCGGCCGGGTAACCATTGAATGCAAGCCACCTAGTACAATAGCAAGGCT